TGATACCCAGTTCGAAGACGGCGTAGTTCTTCATGATGACACGAAGGCGTGCATCACCATCAGCCACAAAGTTACTTTCCAAAGCAGATTTGATAAGGCTGCTCATGATAGCTGACAATCGTGTCATGCTCATGTGGCCGAACACCATTTGCAAGTCGGCATCTTCGCTGATACTGTCGCAAAAGTTCATAAGGAGGAAGCCCATTTCACTTTCTCCACCTAGCTTCTTGATGAGGTTGGGCTGGGATTGGAAGGCTTGTTCTTGAATAGGTCTGCACATTATGTTTGCTTGTCTGTGTGTTATTGGTGGTTGTCTTTGCGCGTTGGCTGAAAGTTCAATTTATGAGGATTTGAGACTGGTTTTGTGGATGCGATGCATGTTGAGGTTTTGATTGTTGTTGGACATTATTCGGTTTTGAATGCCCTTATTCTACCGTATATATATTTTTTATGTAGAACACTCCCGAGTTTTGTCAAATGTGGTATTCGGAATAAATGTAAAGCCCCGCAGAATGTCGGTTCAACCAACTTACTTAGTGTCGTCATTCTTTAGATTAGCAAATAGCCCCCGAAGGTCGGCTTCACCTTCGACTGCACGATCTAGGGCTGGTTCTATGGACTATAAATTCTCCGCCATCGTAAATATGCGGAAATGGTTTGGAAGAACATAAGGAGGGGCTGATTTCACTACATAGGTCATACAGTAGGTACGAGTACTCTCATACAGGAGCAAAAGAGATACCTATGATGTGCTGTATGTATGTTTGAAAACAAGGTTGGTGGACGTAGAATACAGTCGTATGATACACGCTGATTTTGCTAGCCTTCGGGGGCTATTTGATGATCTAGCGAATGCCGTCGTGAATTGTACTGTAGGACTAATATATTCTTCAGAGGCTAAACATTTATTCCGAGTACCAAAGTTGACAAACTCGGGAGTGTTCTACCTACATACTGAATAAGGGCACTCAGCACTCAAAACCGAATAATGTCTACAGCAAAACTCAACCTCAACATGCATCGTATCCACAGAACTAATCTCAAATCCTCATAAATTAAACTTTCAGCCAACACGCAAAGACAACCACCAATAGTAACACACAAACAAACAAACAAACATAATGTGCAGACCTATTCAAGAACAAGCCTTCCAATCCCAGCCTAACCTCATCAAGAAGCTAGGTGGAGAAAGTGAAATGGGCTTCCTCCTCATGAACTTTTGCGACAGTATCAACGAAGATGCCGACTTGCAAATGGTGTTCGGCCATATGAGCATGACACGATTGTCAGCTGTCATGAGCAGCCTTATCAAATCTGCTTTGGAAAGTAACTTTGTGGTTGATGGTGATGCACGCCTTCGTGTCATCATGAAGAACTACGCCGTCTTCGAACTGGGTATCAACACCAAACAGTTCAAGAAACTCAAGTCGCACTTTGAGACTGCTCTACAGGGCTCGTGGATCGAAGAATCTATTCTCGAGGAATGCACGCAGCGATTTGCAGCCTTGCGAATAATCTTCGAAGAAGAAGGAAAGGACTTTGAGAGAACAGCAATGGCAACCAGAGTCTTGGCCGCTCAACTCGTAGTATGAGCACGGCCTGAAGAACTTTTGGAAAAATGAAGCAAAGATACATTACATAGAAACCGATAATTCATAAAGTGCATACAATATAAACCCGATATCTTGCTGACTTGTACTGGGAATGGAGGTTCCGGGGCGAGATAGACCATTCGAATGATGCATTGGTGATTCGTTGGATTCTTGATTACATCTTGCAAGAAACCTTGGTAGAAGAATATTTCGAGGAAGGTAGAAAAATAGACAATCGCTTTCGGCACCCTCTGTTCGCATGTTTGTCTGATGCGCATTGACGGGACGAAGACAATTTGAAATTGCAAGCCCTTGAACGTGTGTCTTACAGTCTTTGTATGGAAGTCCTCGGCACCCTGGTGATTGTAGGATAGGTACCGCTGTTCGATGGATTACATGTCTCCGCCCTCATTTCCAAAACCTTTCGGAACTACATAAAACTTGAAAGAAAAACAAGGAGGGCCTCGATGGTCGGCACTGTAGTGACAAACTACCGGCAATGAGATTGAACATTTCCAACCTTCGAGGCCCTCCTTGTTCTGCAAACCTTTTGTGATGAATGGACTCTAATATTGCAGTGCCATGTACACACCCTCCAATATACATATTGATCCATATTATTGATGATGTCTATGAAGATAGATATTTTACCATATTCATTCGTCCAATGATGAAAGTAGCGCAACAGGAGACTTGATGCTTTTCTTCAATCCCAAATCTTGTTTAGAGACGTTGCGCTGGATCCCCCTTCATGATCCAATGAGCTGGGAATCACCCTTTTGGCATGCCAACCCTTCGGGCCATTTGAATACTGGTAGTTTGGTACCAACTCCCTTGGCCCCTGACTCTCCTGTCACCGCCAAGGTATTCACGTAGAATTCTCCTTTGGTGGGTTTGTGAATCATGGATTCGTCAAAGATCATCTTTTGACCATATCGTCGGACCTGTAAGTACCCACCACTTTGCCAATGTATAATGCGACTCCAAAAGTTTCTTGTCAAGTCATATCTTTTGTAGGATACATGCAGGGAACAAAGTCTTCTCGAGTAGCTGCCGGGCACCATTCGATTCAAAGCGACATACTCCAAAGCAACATCCCTTGACGTTTTCGATAAAATCCGCTTCAATAGCCTTGGAATCGACAAGATATTGTGGAGACATGGGTCCAATGTCAACGAGAGATGATAATTCTTGTGCTGAGTTACAGTACTATTGATATAATATTTGTTGGGATATTTGTTGGGGTGTGTGAACTTATTGTCGTTGCTGTAAATGATTATGCATAGAATAAAATGGAAAACGTACAATAACGTTCTGTCTTCGAAGCAATGGTCTTTTCATTCATTCGTCGTGATGACTGTATATATTATTGCATCACATCTTATTTCGCATGCAGCAAAAATAAATTACAGTCATAAACCGGCAGCTGAACGACTACATCGACTAAAGGAATCGGTCATTATACTCGTCGTCTCCGAAAACCGAAAACCTCATTGTGAGCACCTATATACCTTTTGCTTCGAAAGCCTCTGGTTGTATGATACAGTCATGAAATGTGGGCCGAGAGCATGTGAAAGCAAAAGTTTCAACAGCAGCATACCATTGTGAAGTTCCATGTGACAGTGATGGGTACGACGACCCAGTTGGAAGGAGAAGAATGAGGATGTCAAGAAGTTCTTCGATTTCTCAATATGACAGCTGGATGCTTACGGTGAAAAGACGAAACCCAATTTGACTGAAGGTCGCATTGTCGCCCTTCAGAATCGAAGCCTGTGAGGATACAAAAGCGACGTCTTAGGGAACTCATTGTGCCATATAAACGATTGCACAGTCGTCGGTCGTCACCACAGTAGGTGCCGAATGACATTTGAATCAATCGGCTGAATTTCCCAAACAGACCAATTGGGTATATAAGCTTCAAACCGTCTAACCGAAGCGAAAAAGGAAGAAACCCTTGTAGTGGAACTTACAGTTGTCTCTATACTCGAAATATATCAGCGATGATTTTCAGTATTCAAACGCACCAGTTTTCTTTCTTGTGGCCGGTGCCACAGTTTCTCTGAAAAGCTGGACAAGTTGAAAAAGAGTTGAAGCGCACCCAAGGAGGCTTTTGACTAGCTTCTTATAAGGCGGAACACTATGCACGACGATTTCATCGATTTGCTGTCGTTCGAAAAAAGGATTGCAACAAACAGAAGAGAGGCGAGGGGAAAAGTCGACTCATTCATGACGACAAGTGAACCGGGACGGGGCTGCTGGATTTGCGCTTGCCTTTGCTTTTCTAAACTACTTCAAGCCAAGTGGCATAAAAGATGATAATCTGCCTGTGGACGACGCATGGCACCGGCCCGTTCAAGAGCTCAAGCAATTCAAAAAAATCATTTTCAAAAATCCAGATTGATCGATTCATTGGCAAGTATCAATCAGTTCGGCTTTTGTTCTACATCTATTAGTTGGATCAATATGCATATCGGTTTCAAGAGGGAAGCCAGTGTGTCGACTGACGTCAGGGCCATCCTGCAGCTGGAAGCTATTGCGTTGGATTTGGGAGAGACTCCCATTACAAATGACCTGATATGGAACGGAAGCCCTACGATGCATCCATTCACCAACATAGGCACTATCGAGTGCAGGTGAACGATACCCAGAAGACTTCATTGGTCCCATTGAAATTATTAATGATGTCAGTATCAACATTAGTTTACTCCAATCGGATTACGATGCAATGCCTTCCAAGATCTTCCCATTGACAAGAAATCCATCTGTTGGCCCATGGATATGATCAAACGATTGATTCATCCTATATCCACCAAGGTATGAAAAGAGTAATCTTATTTCTGAATGGTTTGGAAGATTCTGCTTTGAGGAAATAAATGAATCATTGTTCGGATCGAATGGAAACGAGATAATCAGAACACCGAACGCACCCCTGGCGGTCGACAACCTTATACCATTATCACTTTTGGTTCTCAAAATAGGTGTCCATATCGGTTTATTATTCTTTTCTTCATGCTATATATACAAGTCTCAGTTTTCAGTCGGTCTTTGATATTGCTAGATAGCTGGAGCGATGCTTGGAAAACGCTGTCAGCCTCAATCCAGAAACAAATGGGGCGAATTCCAAAGGTTGCATGAAGCACATTGCTTCTAAAATCAATTTATTCTTGTTATCTTTGTTCATCAACATGTCGAATTGAAAGTCAGGATTACGTTGGTTGTATTTTAATACTGTTGAATCTATCTCTGACTCTGCCACCTGGAGTACCGCTTGAGAATAGCTCGGCTGCTGATTCGAATGAAGAAACAGTGCCGGATCGTGAAGGCCAGCGAGACATAGCCCCGGATGTTGCATCGAACAGTACTTGTTTATGCCTATTATAGTATATATTCTATTCTATTACTTTTCATTTACTCTGGCATGTCGTACTCGTTCAGCTTTGTTTGCAATTCATCTCGTTCTCTTTCGGCTGACATCAACAACTTCTTCAGGCTCTCAATCTGTTCTTGCTTATCGGCAAGCATTAGCTGGATATCTGCTTTTGTTTCTTTGCTTCGCTTCTTAGTGGGAGCTGGGAATATCGCCAGTGGCTTCCTACTGGATGAAGTATCTTCTGGTGATGGCTTGGAGTTCATCATTGTTGAATCATCCATTTCTGAATCATCAATCGGAACACTGTTCATGCCATACTTTTCCATTCGAGCCTTTTCGCCTTGCTCATATCTATAGTGTACTTGATCCCAGAATGGGATATATTTCCCTGTTATCTGAGAAGTTTTCTCGGGGATTGCAAATGCGTCAATGACAGTTTCAGAGGAAGGAACCTCAATCGTTTCCAAGTTGTCACACAGATTAAACGCATAGTTTTCGACCTTGACGAGTCCTTCATTCAGCGCAACCTTTTTTAGCTCTTTACAGCTGTCAAAAGCACCGGTCCTCACATACTTCATGGTTGACGGAAGCCAAAGAAGTTCCATGCCACAGCCTGAAAAGGCATCTTTCTCAATGATTTCGAGCCCCTCGTTCAGGACGACGCTCGTCACTGATACGCAGTTATAGAATGAACCTTTGTGAACTGCTGTCATGGTGGATGGCAATCTAATAGATTCCAACGATACGCAGTTCGAGAACGCATTGGATCCAATCTTTTGCAAGCCTTCTGAAAACTGTACATACCGTAATTTGGGGCGATCTTCAAATGCCCATTTCTCAATGATTTTGACGGATGGATCGATTCGGACCAGCTCCACATCTTCTGGTATTACTTGGTTGCCTCCTTTGTAAACAAATATTTCTATCATATTCCTTTATTGACGTGAGTACAATGGTCATTGTACAGTACAAGATGACACTGCGTACTTATTTGCTGTATCCAAAAAAGGCTGCTAGTTTCCCTTTTCTCCAGATCCCCCTTGATCAAAGTGGTCAAAATTCAAAAGGAAGGTAATTCATACTGTACACATATTAACGAAACGAAACGATAATCTAATGAAGCTTATCTTTTAGTCCAACAAGAAATCAAGGCTTTCGTACTATGGGGACACAGCAGCAGCAGCAACAGCAGCAGTCATATGTTGATGGAAACTTGCCCATTTGATGATTGCACCCCGCCGTCGTCGTCTTCTTCATTGTGCTGATTTATCCGACCGAGACACGCAATTTCCTCCTTGTAAAGTACCGGTACGGAACTGTGGACCAAAGGGCAAAGGTTGCTGCTGCTGCAAGAAGAAGAAAGAAGAAATCTTGCTTCCACGAACTTGCGCAAAAGAACGCACTTTTCTCAAGACACTGTCGCAAGTTTTCCGCAGCCAAGAAGCAAGGATTCTTTGACGACGACGTCTCCTTCTTTGTGTACTACTACTAGATATATACATCTATATATATAATAGGGTACAAGAACCAAGTCCAGCAATCACTGCTGGCAAACTCCTTGGTTCGCGAAAAAGCATACACACCAAACACCAATATGACTACTATAGGATCTTTCGTAGGATGATTGCTGAGTTTGAACTTCTTTTGTCGTTCCTCGTTTCCGTTCGACCATTTGTTTTGCGATGATGATGTAATGATTGAAACACGCCAGCACATTGTTTCATTCCTTTCTTGTTGTTGTTGTTGCAGCCAGCTCCGTGTGCAAGAACAGTCTTTGGGTTGATCTTTTTTCCTTCTTCACCACCATACTGTATCATTCAGATGATAATGATAATGGTGATGGGGGGAGGATGTCATTCAAATGACATTCAAACGACATATATGATGATGCAATAAGAACATCATCGTGGTAGATACGCACCACGCGTGCCACCACCAAGAATTTCCAATGAATAGTGTTTCAAAAGATATCACATCATACCGTACATATGATAAAATACAAACCATAATATATATGTTACATCATTCGGATAACACGATTGATGATGTCATTCCGATAATGATGATGATGATGATGATGACGATAATGATGCCGCACAACACGCAACATCTGAGAATCATCATCGTCATCCCATCCCATAATGTGTACACGTACGAATGTGTCGAGAACGCTGACGTTTTACATATATGATATATGTCATCATCACAACAATGGAATGGGAGCTAAAAAATGAGATCCTGTGGTGTGCACTGACTGTCACACAAACACATCGTGACATCGTCACAGACATTCACACTCCCAGAAATACCGGTATCCACCCCATGATGATGATGATGATGATGATGATGGATGATGATGGATGATGATGGATGATGATGGATGATGATGGATGATGATGATGCAAGAAATATCGGTATCAAGCACCAAGGTCCAATTCACGTCATCATCGTCATCACTTTTGTGAGAATACGCCGATCAGAATGTGAGAACTGACGGAGTTGCGATATATAAAAAAGATGTGTATTTGTATCCGTCACACAACGTCACACATTACACACACAGACGCATACGCATACCAGCAGTTAGGAGAAGTTGGCATCACCATTTCATCTTCGTTCCAATCTAAACGGATATCGATTTAGCGGTTTGAAGAAATCCGATGGTTCTGCCTGCTGGGACCGTGACACGCCTGCACGTCCCCATTATTTAAATTGAGGGTTCTTTGGATATTCGCCGAGGTTCGCATTAAAGCCTGCCTTGCCCTAACAATGCCGATTCAAACTTCCAATAGCCGTTATGGGGCCACGCCATAGTCCGTCACGCACTAACAAGCTTCTTTGTATTTTGGTATTTAAGGCTGAACGGATATTACGCGGAGTGGATGGAGGGAATTGGGAAATTTGACGGTTCTGGCAGGCTCGTATGATGTGGTAAGTAGGCAAATTCGAAAGTGCCGGATATTCACAAAATCCCTCCTTTTTTGCAAGTGCAGATCCTCATTATCCTCCCCGTGACCTCAAAGTAACCGTTTGCTTTCATACATATTATTCATTGTAGAATTCAAACCATCCGTTCCCACATACAGTACTCATAGTCACAGTCACAGTCACACAAACAAAACAAAACAAACACAATGATGATGAGACGGACCCAATATTTCATCGCCCTTTGCCTAGTGTTGTTGCAGCTCATTAGCGCCCAAAAATGTTCCATTTGTGGTTCGGACAACATTCGCCCTGGCAACACCAATACCTTTTACAACATCCGGTATTTCGGTACCTATTCTTGTCCCAACCTTTATGATTTGGGACAACAAGGAAAGATTCCAGGTTACATCTGCGGAATCATTCAAAGCCGCCTTTACAGTGCCTGTCAGTGTGGTCAAGCACCTTCGGGTGGTGGTGGTGGATCTAGCGGTGGATCGGCTCCCTTTACCATTCCACCCGGCCTCAACTTGCCTCCTTCCTTTAGCAACAATTTGAATTTGCAGACTCCAAGGCCCACCCCCGCCAGGAGGCCCGCACCACCACCGCCAACCCGAAGACCCACCGCCCCACCCCCAACCCGAAGACCTACCCGTCAGCCCACCAGACAACCCACACGAAGACCCACGGCGCGTCCTACGGCACGTCCCACACCTGGACCCACTCCCTCTCCCACCACTTCCAAACCAACCCCGTCTCCTACTCCCAAGCCCACTCGAGTTCCTACCGAAGCTCCTACCGGACGGTACGACCGAAAGGAACGCACCGCGGGGGGTGCGCTCAAGGAAGACACGTACAAATTGGCCCGTCAACGTGGTGGCAACCGTCTCAAGGATTTGCAATTGATTTACGGCTTTAACCGTGGTAACAATCGCCGTCAATTGGAAAAGGAACCAGAAGAAATGGAGGTCATGGCACCAGAAGAAGAAAAAGAAGAGGAACTACAAGCAGCAACTGGTGAAGAACCAACGGAAAGCTAAATCATATTTTGTATATGGTATAACCTCTACACATTCACATCCACACACACACACATCCACACACACACTACAACTGATGTCCAGTTTTTGGTGATGATGATGTCTGTTGAATGGATCAACCAACCGATCCATTCCTTGTACCAATAACATTGTAACACTAAGATGCATTACTCTTTTATATACCAGAATTTGTATTTTTTAACAAACACTTGATGAGGTTTTGCGTTGTTCGATTCATCGGCTACCAAGAAATTTGGCGACCAAGGCTATCAACGGTTGTATTTTTGTCATGTTCATGTACCTACCTATAAATCTTCCTCTTACAATCGATCTGTACAATGATCGTGCTCCATTACTACTGCTATGGCTGAAGGTAGAACACTAACTACTACAGGACTACTACAACTATCGGTACTACTACTACAACTATCGGTACTACCACTACTACCACTACTACCACTACTACCACTACTACTACTACTACTACTACTGCTACTATAGTTTCAAAGATAATACGATACTGCATTTCTGCCGGAAATTGGAGAGCTTTTTACCCGGAAATACTACAGTATAGTGCTGCTGCTGAATCTGCCAGATACTGTATTGTACCGGTACGATACTGTACGTAGGTACTTGGGTTTGTTGTGGATCGTTGAAATTGGACGACGGGACTTTTTTACGATCACCGATGGATTCGGAGTGGGGATTTGAATTTCCGTTCGCTGGCCCGGCGTTGGGGGGTAACACCCGAGCATGCGGGTATCATACGGACATCAAAATTTATTTGAATAATGGTTCGATTTTTATATACCGGTATGTGTGTGTCGGATCATGAATGAATCAATGACGTCAGAATGTGTGTCGGACACATGATGTCCGACAAGGAACGTGGACAAGTCGTCATTAGTCGAGTCAGTCATGAGTGAGTCATGCTGCCTGATGCTAGCTCTTAACGTGACAACGTTGTGCTCCTGGCTCTCCTCGTAGAGAGAGCGTACTAGTGCGTGTCACGTTAAGCCCCTGGCTCTCCTCGTAGAGAGAGCGTACTAGTGCGTTGATGTAGCTACTGTTGGACATGATAGACGGTGATTGATATTGCTAATGGGGTGTATTTACGGGGGTCTGAAGCAGCTGTGAGTAGATGATAGATGATTGATCTTGGGCTTGAGATTGGCGACGACCGTTGGCCTTCGATCGCTCTAATATATCTGCTCGGGACTTGGCAGTCCAGTCAGTCACGTTACGTCCCCTCTTCTTCCATTTAGGCGACTCTGTTGTAACGTCTCATCTTGGTCTGTTTTCACCTCCCTCTTCTTGATGAATGGCTGCTGGCACCGAACAAGGTAGCCGAAGAAAAATCGCCATCTAACCCAGTTGCAAATCGGGCTGCAGGATTCTCTCTGACGTCCAGGTTGCTGGCAAGCGGCTTCAAGTGTCTGACAGTTGCGTCCAGGTCCAAAGTTTGACTAGGTGCTTCGCGGTACGACGGTCAGAACGGGAGGATCAGTCCTCATCTTAGTCGTTGTACACACGTATTTCGGGGAGTAAGGGGGTTGCTATATCTGGTCCTT